TTCCGCTCTTTCGAAATCGGCCAACAACGGACGTAACAAATTGGCCTTCAAGCGAAATGTGATAAGCGCATTCTCGTTATCGCTACACTACGGCAGCTGCGACAATTTTTTATGAACTCAGAAACTGTCATGTGAGGAGGTAGTAGGAAGCAACAGTTGGCAGATATGCAAATGCCTTTATCGTGCCTCTATCTATGTGAGAGAAGGCTGTCTGACTAAATTCAAACCGATGCCGTTAATATTAATGCCATAACGAAGCCTGAATCGAACTTTCTTCCTAACACAAGATCGAAGGAGCGGTCCAAGCGACACCTGATAGATGATATGCCGAAATGGACAGAATTGAACATCATTCACACCATGGGATCTCGTAATGCAGAAATAAAGTCGGAAATTTGTCGTCTGTCCTCAACATTAAGGAGAGAATTTAATGTTTTTGTTACGGTAAAGTTGAACCAGCTGCAGATATGCTTCTTCTCTTTCACATCACAAAAATCAAGGTTGACCAGAAGTGGCGCTATTCGCATCTCTCTTGTAAGTCAATTGCGGGTTTAGCCGTTCAACATTAGCTCTGTCAACAATCAGAATGACTCAAAATGAGTTCAACACGAGGCCTGAGTCAGTTGCCGTCAAGTAGCCAGATCAGTTTCTTGATCAGGGCGATTGCGTGAAAGACGCTATTACCTGTCAATCTCCTGCAATACATTGATGACTCTGGTTTACAGTCTGCTTAACAAGCTAAACGCCGTTCGCACGTAACATGAGATACACGCGGCTGCAGCTCATCATCGTTTTATCACGAAAACATTTCCACAGGCACGGGACTATATCTGCCACACCTTCCTTCAAACAATAAACCACTAATTAGTTTAACGGTATACTGACATGGTCATGATTCAGAATTTACTGAAGATCAGTTCAAGACAGAAGAAAATATAAGGGTGCGAAATTTTGCACAACTCTACTAACTGTAATTGATGACAGCGGAAGTTCACAGTACAGATTAACGAGATTTAAGACGTGTAGAACAAAGGGACATCTCCTCCATGACGAAATCGCATTGAGGAAGCAGGTCAGAAGAAATACAAATCGAACGATCAGAAAAGGTCAAAAGAAAAATATGACCTCAGCCACAACAACTATTAACACAAACCGGCGTCGTCACGTTCATT